GAACAAAACAAAAGTGTTTGGATGTTGGACACTGCGGTTAAACCTGGGCAGTTATGTAATCATGTCTAGGGTCAATATAGCCTGATCAACTATATTCATTCGAGACATGACCAACATGTGCTTGGGAGTGACTGTGGTGTTGCAGTAGGCCTAAAACTTACCAAATATCCATACAACAAAATATCGATATAACAAAACTTACAACTTAAAATACTATATGAGTATTTTACGAGAGTCAAATGCATTGCAAAAAAAAATTCACTTCCAAGTGTTGCTACTCATTCCTTTTAGCGATTACTTATTTGCATTGGTAGCTTTTTCTTGTTTATCGCTTAGTAGAACACTCTACCACCCTCAAACTGACGGGCAGAGTGAGAGAACTATTCAAACCTTAGAAGACATGTTGCAGGCTTGTGTAATAAACTTCGGTAAAGCATGAGACATCCACTTACCATTAGTTGAATTCTCGTATAACAACAGTTATCACACTAGCATCAAGACTGCTCCATTTGAAGCCCTCTACGGCCGCAAGTGCAGATCACCTCTGTGCTGAGCAGAAGTGGGTGACACGCAGATGGCGAGAGGCCTAGTCCCTGATAGCACTCTCATTGGCCCAGAAATCATTAGAGAGACGAATGAAAAGATTGTCCAAATCCGTGAACGACTGAAAGCCTCAAGAGATAGACAAAAGAGCTACGCCGACAAGAGACGAAAACCCTTGGAATTTTAGGTTGGTGACCGTGTCCTACTGAAGGTCTCACCCTGGAAGGGCATGATATAGTTTGGGAAGCGTGGAAAACTAAATCCAAGGTACATTGGACCCTTCGAAGTTACTGCAAGGATTGGTCCAGTAGCTTATAGACTCTAACTACCACTCGAACTTAACAACGTACATCCTGTGTTTCTCGTGTCTAATCTGAAAAAGTGTCTATCTGATGAAACCCTTGTAATTCCACTCGAGGAAATTGAATTGAACGAAAATCTTAACTTTGTGGAAGAACCCGTCGAAATCATGGATAGGGAAATCAAACGAACAAAGCAAAGTCACATACCAATAGTGAAGGTTCGCTGGAACGCTAAGCGAGGACCTGAATTCACTTGGGAGCGAGAAGATCAGATGCAACAAAAGTACCCGCATCTCTTCCCTAGTCCATAAACACTTACTTTGTAAATAATTTCGGGACGAAATTCCCTCTAACGGGGGGATGATGTAACAACCTGATATTTCAAGTCAATATAATGATCTAAAGTCAAGTATTGTAACCTACTTTTGAGATAATAAAAATAGCGTCAAAAATGAAATGTTCAAAAATCTCAATTTGGATGTACTAAGTGGTAGATATCGTAACAAGGTTTTCAAAAATATAAAGAACACTAAAATCCGAGTTATAACGAAGGAGTTATGACCAATCGAAGATCTGCAACAAAACCTGTAAAACACTGTTAAGCATAAAATGCGAAATTTCAATAAAATACTTTTTTTGTCTTAGGTATCTAAATGAAAGTCGTAGATATCATTAAACCGTAAACGTACATAAAAAGAATGTCCAAATCTGACTTCGTATGAGGAAGTTATGATATTTCGAAGTTTCGGATATAGCAATAGACAACTAAAAACTCGAAATAGAGATCGAGCGAATTTTAGCCGACACAACCTAATGAGAATCGAAGATCTCGACAATAGTAGTGCAACGGTAAAAAGACAGACAAAAACGGGCGTCAGATGAAGAAGTTATGAATTTTTAACGGACTTTTCCTGTCCCGGTCTGTTAAAAATATATTATTAAAAATAAAATCAAAATTAGCCGACTGAGTCTAAACGAAAGTTGTAGAGCATAATCTCACCTACGCGTGAATATAAAGAACGTCAAAATCGGAACTCATATGCGAGAGATATGAATTTCTGAAGTTCGGGACACGAAACCCCACACTGTCAGGGAACTCACGACGTGAGCCAGAAGCTCACAACGTGAGCTTGTGACGGATGGGTGCCATAGACGGGCTATCGGACGTCGGGTCTATGCAAGGGATAAGATCAAAACTCACGACATGAACCACCCCAAGTTCACGACGTGAATCCCAAAAATGCACCCTATAAATAGAAACCGAGGGCTTCGGTTTTGGCTGCTCATTTCTATCCTCTCTCCTACTTTTACTCTGTGTTAAGCATCCCGAGACTACCCCGACGCCCCGGTTACGTGTCCAAGCCTCGACGAAATCCCGAAGTCCCGAAGTTCCCGAGAAAACTTGCTTCTTTCCAGTCGACGTGCTGCCCGAGTTAAACATCGTCTTCATCAAACCGTCACTTTTACCAAGTGAGTTCATACCCCTATCACTACACTTTTAAATGCTTTTTAAACACTCTTAGAGGGGGGGGGGGGGGAATACAAGTAAACACACGGTTAAAATCGTGTGAAAACATCAATCTTTTACTATAAATTCCTTGTTGTTGTTATAACTATCATACGAAAATGTTAGCATGCAAAACATCTTACGATACCATTTTACCCTCTCGGGATGAAATATGTTTGTAAATAAAAATATGCTTTATTTATATGTTTGCATAACACATCTTGACAAGGGTAACCATTTCAACTATAACATTACTTATATACAAGAAAATACAAATCATTGTTATGCCCTTATCAACATAGTAAAAAGGGTAATCATTTCGGACATAAACACATTCATTTCAAAAATATGTGACTTAATTGAGAATATGTGAGTCATTCGTCTTCATCATACCTATCAAGGTATACAAGAAAGCCATGTTTTATAACCAGAGTCTCCGCCCGGGGAACGTGATAAGTGTGTATAGATCTATACGGGACTGATGATCCCGCACCCTGGCTGTTAGCTACAGCCGGACCGGCAGGTTAAGGGTGACAAGTGTCATAACATTTCGACGCCTGAAGAACGTCGCTGCAGGAAAATTCATCTTAGTAAGGTTATGAAAACTCACAAGATAGACAATTATTATGGTATTATGTTTTACGGGAAAAGTAATATTACAATTATTTTACGTAAAAATACAAGCTTCCTATAGTTTTGTTCACTAATAAAACTATACATTTTCAGTATAAGTATGTCATATTTACTTACAAATTACAGTATTGGAGATTTAAGACTACTTCTCACTTTTAGGAAAATATAGGATTTTCCTGGTCTATATACATCCATTTTATACAACATCGATTCATAACTCATTTTATAAGAAAATATCGGATTTTCTGGAAAACAAACATGAACTTTCAAATGGCATGCATTTACTCAAATAACTACTTATGAGCTCACCAACTTAAATGTTGACACTTTTTCTTTGAAATAACTTGTATTATCAGGGAATCGCTAAACCAGGTTAGCAACTGCTTTTGGGGACTAATGCTCTGGCGTTAGTAACATCTTTTGGAACATCATATTGTATTTGACTTTTAAAACATGTAATACAACAATCATGTAAACTTTTCAAATATATATTATGGTGGTGTGTACTTTCTTTACTATTCAATTGTTATGATACTGTACATGACGTCCTTCGCCCCCGAATGTTTCCGCCGTTCAGGTTTGGGGGTGTGACATCTAACAAGTTAATCATCAAGGTATGGACTTTATACCTTCTGGAGATGGAGAATAATGCAAGACTTCTAGATCCAAGCTTGCTTCTAGCTTCCAAGCTTCACCACCACCTTCTTCTTCCTTTGGAACACACAAAAACACACGCTCAAGCTTCAAAATGCAACAATAGGGCTAGGGTTTGCAAGAGAAGACGTTTCTAATGATGGAGGCTGGAAATGGGGTGGGGAAATAGGACTTAAGGATCAATATATAGGGTCCAAACCCTCAAGATTAGGGTTTTTGTCCAGACAGTGTACACCCATCGTACACATCCTACACCCAACGTACTCCCAAAACGGCGTCGTTCCCTTAAATGTTCCTTACGCCCAACGTTCGTGTGTTCCGCCCAAATTTACAACAATCCCATTATGGGCCATTTTGCAACATTTATCATGCATAGGGCTAACATACAAATAATCTGCATACTTAAGGTCAAAAGTAGAAGTACCTCATCATTGAGATGTTACACTCTCATTCGAAATCGACTTTTGTATCTCAAACATATTTAAGAAACTCATATTATGAAGTTCGTAAACAAATTGACGAAACTTATAGTATGATGCTCTCCTTAGGAAACTAGAAGCTAATATCAAATGGTAATGAGATATTTAAACGCCGTAATTGATAATTAAGTGTCAAATGAATGTAAGCACCTAATGACTCTGTTCCACTTCCTTCATACCATCTATATAATTTAAAGTAAGCATAAAACAAATTGTATTATGTATTATTATATATATATATATATATATATATATATATATATATATATATATATATATATATATATATATATATATATATGGTATTTATGTGTAAAAACATATTTTATATGTATAACTACGTTTTATAATGTTTATAGGCATTTGGTAAAATTGGATGTATGCCACGTTTAACCAAGGTCAAGTGTAATTAGTTTCTTAGCCTATATAATGAATATTAGTGATTTTCATGTTATGTATACCCATTTTTATTATACAAACAAACATATACGTAAAGTTAATTTGCAAACAATTTGTAACCATACTCTAAGTTAAGATTTTTAGTATATAGCGGTTTATTAATAAAGTTAAAAGTATAATTTTAAAACCTACTTTAAAATCAACATGTTGGAATCCGTATTTACTCGACCAATTAAAGTAAAATACCTCAACCCAAAGATCAAACAATTTATCTAACTATATTGTATTGAAAATCTCAATCAATTTATCTATATAAACATATAAAGTTAGAAATAAATTGTTTTTTTGTTCTAACATGTTGATATACCCGAATACAATGCGAAGTGTAACTTATACATGCCAAATAATTGGATATATATTCAATTCCCTTTATGCAGATCCAATTCTATTCATTTCATTTTCACTTTGTGCTATTCGTTCTGCCAAATGTCCCTAGTTCTCGATTTTGTTCGGACCGACTTGTTTCTTAAATTACTATATTACCCTCAGCCTTTATGTTATATCCTCCGCCATCACCCGGATCTCCGGTCTTTTTCAACGTGAGGTTAGGGCTTTAATCACACCCCAAAAGCCCGGAGCCGCCGCCTTCTTCGCCTCTATTGACATCGATATTCGCAGTCAGCCGTGAACTCGTAGCTCATCGTTTCTCCACACTCACAAGGTAATCTTTACTTGCATGATATTGTCAACTATTTTCATCTCTGTAACATTGAAATCCTTTTTCTGTTGACGAATTAAACGAATTTGAAATCGATTAGTTAGTTCGATAGTTTCTTTCACTCGTCAGCGAATCAGTATTTCCCGTTCTTCTACGTATGATATATCAGTATTTGTCGAGTAGGGAATTGATCTCGTACAGCTTTGTCGTGCTTTGGTTCTTAGGGTTGAAAATTAATGTTCGACAGAGAGGATTATTGATCTTATGTGTACAAATTGATGTACTACTAGTAATAAATTAGGCGAGAAGAGCAAAGAACGAAAGTTTACCATCACGAAGGGATTTGCGATAAGAGTTAAGGTCACCACCACAATCAAATTGCAAACTGTTGAATGTTATTATGATGAGGAATTGTACCAGCATATAGAGGACCTTAGAATATTTAAATTTCTTGAATAGATCAAACATGGAAGCAAAAGCAACCAAATAAAAGAAAAGTAAATTGTCTGTTATTGGTTTACCTTAGCTAATTACTAACAAAGTTATCCACAAAACGGTAGTTTTTCATTTATACAAATGCCTTCAGATGAGATCTGTCACATTTGAACATCCTTCTTTGGATTCAACATACCATTGACTTTGCTGTTAAATATTTTTTGTCACTGCTTTGATACTAAGCAATTTGCATAACTTGATTATGAAAAACTATTTTTAAACCAGGTTTTTACATATACTCAGAGGGAGTTGGTTGGATTGGATCCCAAAGATAAATGTGCTTGGAGTTATGAGATTATACCTTTCATGCTGTGATATTACTTCTATACATACTGTTGCAAAGGCAAGATGCCATATAAATATCTTTCAAGACTTAGAGGCTCATTCAGTCAGGGGATTCACAGAACCAATATAACTCTAGAAAGCACCCTTCAGGGCTCATTTGAAGTTCTTCTCTGCCATGGGAAAACTTTATTTGGTAACCCAAGATTCTACTCTGTACCATTTCTAGAACCTGGTGACCTAAATACCCTTCTTCAACACTATACTGCATGTGCATCTCAATTGAACTTACAATCAACAAGCAAAAAGAACAACCTTTCTGTTCTTGGAGCTCTTTCAAGAACATTCTCAACCCCATCTGTATCCGGACCTTCATTTCAAGTTTGTGGCTATCACGCTGATAATCTGCTATCCAATCCTAATCATTTCCAATCTGTTATCACCAATCATAACATTCCCATGGCTCTTTCAAGTTCAAGATCTTTACTAGGGTGTGGATCATTAAACAACTTAGCTTCCTCACATAGACACCTCATCGATAATTCCAATCTTTCTTTTCCTACCCGAGGTTTCCATAGTTGTCACAAAATCACCATGAATTCAAGAAACAATAAAGAATCAGAAAGCTTCTCTCTTTATGGATACTTCATCTACCATGTCGCCAAAACAAATGGCATCTCCAATCCGTTTCTTGGTATCGACTGGAAAAGCTTCCACATCTCATCTCCAACTTTTCTAAATTCCGGAACTGCCTCTGATGTGTTCTCAGACAACAACTCTCTGTGTGATGATCGGGTTACATCTTCTTCCAATACTGATAGGTAATGTTTCTTTTTTCTTTTTTCTGACATTGTTAAAGAATATGAAAATAAAATAATCTCATGATTACAGAAAGGTGTTATCGGATAGATCATTGAAGCTAGTTTCTGGATCATGTTATCTACCCCACCCTGAGAAGGAGGAGACAGGTGGCGAAGATGCACATTTCATATGTTCTGATGAACAAGCAATAGGGGTAGCAGATGGGGTAGGTGGGTGGGCTGACCTTGGTATTGATGCTGGGAAATATGCACGTGAACTTATGTCAAATTCAGTAAATGCAATACAAGATGAACCTAAAGGGTCTGTTGATCCTGCTAGGGTTTTGGAAAAAGCTTACACCAAAACTAAAGCTAAAGGATCCTCAACTGCTTGCATTATCGCCCTCACAAATCAGGTACTAATTAGTAATTATTGACTTTGCAATAATTAATTAATTAATATTGTTAACTTTATAGGGTCTTGATGCTATTAACTTGGGAGATAGTGGGTTTATGGTGGTGAGAGATGGATGTACTGTTTTTCGATCACCAGCACAACAACATGATTTTAATTTCACGTATCAGTTGGAGAATGGAAGTAATAGTGATTTGCCGAGCTCTGGTCAGGTTTGTTGAGTCCATGCGAAAAGACATATTTGCCCCTTTTGACCGGTTTTGTATTTGATGATGCATGTATCATGTTCTGATGTTCATGCATGCAGGCATTTTTGATTCCTGTTGCTCCAGGGGATGTGATAATAGCAGGAACAGATGGGCTGTTTGACAACTTGTATAATAATGACATCACTGCCATTGTGGTGCACGCGGTTCGAGCAGGGTTGGACCCACATGCGACGGCTCAGAAAATAGCGGCTTTGGCACGGCAAAGAGCAATGGAAAGAGACAGACAGACACCTTTCTCTGCTGCTGCTCAAGAAGCTGGGTATCGTTATTATGGTGGAAAGCTTGATGACATCACTGTTGTTGTCTCCTTCATCACCTCCTCTTCCAAAACTGTAAATCTCTCTCTCTCTCTCTCACACACACACACACATAAATTGATGTTGTTTTTGTAAATTGAATGGGGTTGTTTGTGATGGGTGTGCAGGATGAGTCATCAAGTTAATGGATTGAGTCAGGTGGGTGTGTTACATCTTACATGGAGTGGTGGATAGTAATAGATGTAAATAAAAAGAGTGATTAGTTTATATGTTCTTGAACAAGGGACAAGCAAAATGGGAATCGTTGTTCATTTACATCTTATAGCTTCTTCTAGGTTTTCGAATAAACTGGACACTGACCTTTTTTGGGTGATTCATTTCTATTCAGATCTTTTTTTCAACTTTAAAAAAAAAGTTATTTGGACTACTATGATTCAGTTACAGGGTAACAATGAATTGGGTTGGATGTGCAAAGCATTCATCAAATCTAACATTCTTTGACATGAGGATCTCAAAATAATGACTTTATATTTACTTTCTGTGTTCACGTATTATTAGATATGGATAGATCAAAACGACCATATGATTCTATCGAGGGTTGAATATATATTTTTTATAATGAAATATCACTTTGTCTGAGTTGGTGCCATTTTGGATTTGGGAAGTATGTAATCTGTGTATGCTCTCATTTGCATCAAACATTTGCAATTTCATCGCCTATTAAAATCTGAAATCTTTAGTGTTGCCGTTTGTTTGATTAACTGATACCTTTTTATGGTGTTTCATAAATATTAAGCTACTTGGGTTTTGTTAAGCTTTATGGTTTTTGCTACATAAAAACACAATATTTTGGAGTCCGAATTGTTGTGTTTTGGATATGTTTTTTTTGACTTTGTACATGTTATTGTTATTTTGGACTCGAATTCTTGTTTAGGAAAACGTATGGAGTTTGAAATCTTAGATTTTTGAATTCTGTCACATCTAAGCGGTTTGAAAGTGAAACTTAAATCCAAAATGCAATCTTTTGGATTAGGGATGAGCAGTTTGTCTCAAGTCCCGATCCCGTACCGGAACCGGTACCGAACCGTACCGAATCTAAAAATACGGGACGGTACTTGGTACTCCAAATATATGAAATTCGGGAATCGGTACCGCCGGTACCGGTACAAGTACTGAAAACCGTTACCATTCCCGGTATCGGTACCAGTGATATTAATTCGGTTCGGTACTCGGGATTGACTTTCGACCAAATTTGGTTTTCGGGAAATCGAAAACGGTACGAGTCGGTACCGGTTCCGTCCCACGCTCATCCCTATTTTGGATATGGTTGTTTTTGTGAAAATCCCTAACAAATATTGTGGCAACTATTTGTCATGAGTAATGGCTTGTATAATAGGATGTAATTTTGTAACATTTTCTATCTTTGCGTTGTTTGTTTCTAATTCTTTAAATATTACATTTGTAAATTTATATAAAATAGGGTTTGGACCATTCACGTGATGCTGCGGAAACCCGGTATGTTGAAAAACACAGTGCGACATCGAAACAACTTTCAACATAGTTTAAAGTTTAAACCTTCAAGGGTGTTTAGATCGTAACTTTATTTGTATACTTTTCTGGTTCACATTATAAATGAGTTCTCCGTAAAGTGAAACGTTAAAGTATATAAAATAAGATTTCAAATCCAACAATTATGTAAATTATGTATGGAGGAGACAATAAAAAAAATAAATATTTGGAAGTGTATCTTGAATGTATTAAATTTATGAGTTCATACCACAATAAATACCATAAAAGTTTATAATGTTTAAATAAAAAAATAATATTAATAAAAATGACAACTATAAAAAACAATCATATAAGAGGCTGAAAATGTTTAAAATATAATAAGGTATCAAAATCGTAACTTAAAAATACAAATAAATTAACTTTAAAATTTCGAAAGATAAAAACTGTTTGATAAAAAAAACATTAGGGTAGAAAATGCAAACATAAGATTTTTTTATTAATAGAAACAAATTTGCTATCTTCATGAAAATACTTATTCCACATCTTATGTTATATTCTATAAAACTTATACCTTAATTTGGACTTAAGTCTTTTTTGGATTGAAGTTATTAAAGCAAATGAACAGTAATTATGTGAGTGAAATCGTAATCGCACGCGTTGTAGCAGGGACTCCTTTATTTATTAAGCGTACACAAAAATATAAAAATAAAGTTTCAATCAAAAGATTTATGTATGGATAAAATGGTAAAAACTAAGATTTGAAAGTGTCTTGTTTGGTTAATATCACGAATGACAATTAATTAAGAAATTATAATAGCAAAAATAATATTTATACAAATGAAAACTATAAAAATTATATAATAGATGAAAAACGTAACTTTAAAATATAATAAAGGATAAAAGTTGAAACTTACAAATATCAATAATTTATTTTTAAAATTACCAGAAAACTGTTATAGACTAAAAATATTTGAAGATAGAAAATATAAATATATAAAAGTTACTATATGCAAATTTAAAGTTGCTATTTTCAGATATCTTTATTTGATATTTACAATTTAATTATGATTTGGAATTAGCACTTTTAGTTCTCTTAAAAAACAAAATGAAATGGATTTGTGAATAGAGCGAAAGAAACAGAACAATAGGTGACGGCTCTCCATCGGCAAAAGTGAGTATATAGCATGACTAAACAATGACAAGTTAAAAGTTGAAATGAACAGTAATGTTTTGGTCAAAAATTACACAAGTACTAATCAACTAAATTGAATGAGAGGTTATAATGTTCACAATGTGTAATAACAAATGGTAAAAGAAAGTGACACAATGGTTTACAAGGAAAGCCTTTGATCCTTACTAGGATCTCCGGCATAAAATCTTGGGAGGTGATAATGATCACATGTCTTGATGATTTTATTGATATAAAATAAAGATTACAGTTAGTTCTTAGTAAGAATAAGTAAAGAATTTCCAAGAGTAGGCTTAGACTAAAGAACAGTGTGTCGTGTGCAGATTACAAGTGTCAATTTATAGTCTAAACTAACCAACAAGATGTCCGATATTTCCATGATCCTCTATGACCAACTTCATGAACGTTATTTGACCAAGTATTCTGGGTCTTTAGCATAGTTGAGATGATTCTTCGTTGAGAATGTTGGGTTTTAAGCACTATAACACTCCTATGGTTGTGAGAACAAACGATCTGATGTGCAAGGACAAGGTTTAAAAACTCAAACCTTGAGTTAATGCTTAAGATCAATGTCTGCTTACTAAGGAATGTACCAGTCAAGTCTGGCAAGACCAGTCAAGACTGAATTAATGCAATCAACAAAGTATTCAAGATATTAATGAAGAGTGAAGATAATGATCAAGGTAAAGACAATAAATGAAGAACAAAAAGAATGTTTGAGAGAATAAGTGAAGTAAACTGGAATATTGTTGGATATGTTTGAATAATCCATCTATTGCTTTAACATTGAAAGCTCCTATAAATAGGAGAACAAGATACATGGTACTGACTGATTACATACATAGGACCGGATAAAAGAGTTACTTCAGACACTCTGAATATCCGTGTTTAACAAAAGAGACTAAGTCCTATGATAAGTTAAATCAAGCTAAAAGACAAATACAATAAATGCACATGGATAAAACACTAATTCAGATAGACTAACATTCCGGACACATTGTTCAATCCGGAATGCCTTCAACTGATCTTCTCGTCCGGAGCAAAGCTTCAAGTCCGGACACAAAACTGATTCTGTAACATCATCCATTTCGGAACTATGACTGACTTCGGAACTTCAAGATGGTCTGGGATTGCTAGAGGTTCACTTTCAGGTTCCAAAAATTTCCCCTAAGTGAACTTAGCAATCAAGTCAGCTTAGTTTGATTCTTCCTTAATGAACGTGTAAGCTCTAAACAACCAATCCCTGACTTCGACATACCACTGCAACTGACTTACAAACTTTGCCTTGACATGTTCAGGAGCTTCGGACCTGGATGCTCGACTGATAAACTTCTTGAGGGCTCTTGTCGGAACTAAGTGTTTGTCAAGGACTCTGAAAAAGTCCTTTTTGTTGGTCTTCTTTGTCTTGTACACAAACCCTAGAACCTGATCATCAATAGATCCTCCAGCTAGCAGTTCAGCTTCTGGTAGCACATATTCGATCTTGGCAAGAAAGTCTTCAGTTCCGAACAAGTGAGCTAGCTCATAGTCGCATCGACAAAATTTCGCGACATAGTCCTTGAGAAAGCTTAATGCTGCGTGGTAAGCACCCATGCTAATATCATGTTTTTGGAGACTTCGGAGATGAGCAGCAATGGTCAGAACATCGTTGGGATTAATTACAGGGAAGTTAGCATCAGTGATGGTTCGATATGTTGGTTTGTTCTGGATGATGTGATATCGGAACAATGTGCAGTTGAATTCGAATTTCGTCAATATCTTTCTTCGGAACCCAGAGATCTTGGTTATCCTTTTCCTTGTCCACACTTCCTTTTGAGGTTGTGCGTTCTTGGAGTAGAATGTTTTTAATCTTTCACGCTCTGTCCGTATGATCATCTCCGGATCATCATTTGGGTGGAGAGGAGAAAATTTGATGTAGAATTTGCTGTATGGAGAGAGAGAGGCAGATCAAGTTGTTCCGAATCAGTTGTTGGAATATCATAGTACATGAAAGGTACTATATCCGAATCACGAAGGATTCCTTCATGGCATAGAGGAGAGATACCGCGCATCAGATCAGGATTATCTTTGAGAGCTTGGATCCGGGTGCTATCCTCTAGGGATTTGTTGATTTCCTCTTGAGACCATACAAAGTTTTGCTTTGGAGGAGGTCCGTAGTGAAGATCTTGATGTCTTTCCGAGATGGGCTTTTTTCCCTTATCTTTGTTGAGAACCGAGATAACGTGCATCATGTTCTCGTCGATGGAGAATTTTGGAGGAGAGGATTGCAGTGGTTCCTCCGGAATATCGTCTGGGATCCAAAGCGGAGAACCTTGATCTATGGGAGCAATCATTGGAGCATGAATTAGAGTCAACATGGATGGAGTGGCCCGGAAAGCATCAACCGTTAACTTGGTTTTTGCTTTGGCCATTTGAATGCTTCGTTGAAACACATCCGACAGGGTGGATAGCCATGAGACTGTGGACCAGATCCTCTGCTCTTCCTTCGTAAGCACCTTGGCAGGAAATTTCTTTGGAGCTGGAATTCCAACTACAACACTGGTGACATACTCCACTTCCTCTTCATCATCTTCATCATTATCATATTCATCATTTCTTAGAAGTCTGGAAAGAACTTGGAATTCATCATCGGAATTTCCATCTTCATCTCGGAGTGTAAACTCCGAGGCAGGTTTCCAGATCTTGCTTGGG